GGGAGGGTGGGGACAGCAGTGGTGTGGTGGCCAAGCTCTCGCCAGCCAACCAGCAGAAGTGTGAGCGTGGCCTGCTGGCCCTTTTCTGCCACGAGCCCTGCCGGCTACCAACTCCAGCTTCTCTGTGGATCAGCCTGGTGGCACATTGGACCTGACCCTGATCACGCCGGCCTCCAGAAGTTGTTGCCCCCCCCCTCCCTACAACTCCCCTCAGGAGTTTGCCCAGGATGTGGGCCCAATGTTCAAGCAATTCAACAAGCTGAAGGAGGACAAGGTGGACGTGCAGTCCATCATCGGCCTGCAGTGCTTCTTTGATGAATGAGGCCTTTGGTGACACCAAGTTCTCTGCTGTGCTGGTGGAGCCCCCACCTGAGCTTGCCTGGTGCCGGCCTGAGCTCCCAGGAGCTGTCCAGTGGCCCTGGTGATGGCCCCTGAGCCAGCTCAGCCTGGGCATGCCCTGTCAGCTGCGCCCTTTGCCTCCGGTGGTCTGGCTCCCGTTCCTTGGTAGCCTCATTCCCCGGCCCCTCACAATATGGTTTTTACATCTGTGGATTTAATAAAAACGTTACAAGTTAAAAAAAGAAAAAGGAAAAAGAAAAAAAGAGCTAACCGAATAGAAAACCTTGCAGATTCCATTTCTGGCAAAATTAAGAGAGAAATTTAATCCATAGACATCAAAATGTTTGTTAAGATTGTCCCAAATAAATGAGGTCAGGTGGAAGCCATGTGGGAAGAAATGAAGGGACGCAGCACAGAGATGGTGAGAACACAGCAGCAATATGACACTTTTTGAATGGGGATTGTTGCGTCTGACACCTGCTCTCAAAAAGGTAAACAAACGCTTGCTGTCCCTCAGGTTTCCTACCGATCCCTTGGGAAATGATGGCATCTTCGGAGCCGCGCTGGCCACCTCCTCAGCGCCACGCGAGCGCCTTCTCTTTCTGGCGCTCCCCTGGCATCCTGTTGGTGGCCCTAGGGCTCCTACTGCCCATGTGCTCTGGTAGGGACGGGAAAGGTGAGAGCTCTGGAGGCAATGGAGAGAGTCGGGGAGCGGGCCCACCGGAGCCGAGGGCGGGAGAGGTTTGCTTTGTGGGTCGGGTAGGAAGCACGGGCTTGGCGGAGCAGGGTGGTGCAGGTGGAGTCCGGCTTAGGATGGCCTTTCAGTGGTACCGAAAAGCTACTGCAGGGACCGCGGAGGGCTAGAGAGGCTCTGCCCTCCTGTGTGTGTAGAGTTTGCAGGGCTCATATTGCCACTGTCTTCTGGTACAGTCTCCTGATCAGTATTCTGGTTACTGATCATTAAACAGTTCATTTCTATGAGAGAGGAAAGGGAACCGTGGTGGTAAGGAGAACACCAAAGGAATATTTTTAAAGAAGGATAAAGTATAAAATAGGCTTCAAACTAGAGTTGAAGGACACTGTGCATGCTATTTGGAATAGAGGAAAATGAATGGAATGTAGAGTATAGCATGGGAGAGAACAAAACTAGAAATGAAGGGGATAAAAAACAAGATGAAGTTTAAGTTTGAAAGGTAAAATCAGGATAAAATAAAACAGAAAGTAAAAAGGAGAACTCACTAAACTGGGCGGGGAAAACAAACATTTCACTCTTGAAGCAGCTCAGGAGAAGAGGGTTTGTAGGCAGCCTTGTGCCTGGGAGGCTTGCATCTCAGAGGCAGTTGCCAAACGCTGCCAGGGAGTTGCAGAAGGGAAAACTTGTGTTTCCAGGAGCACTCTCATTCCACCAAAACCCACAATAGATTGTTACAAGTGGTCTCTTCTGCCTATTTTGGGTCTTTTCTTTCTTTCTAATTAAAGAAACGGAGATCAACAAGTGCTTATACAGTGTTTCTTAATTTCCTTAGTGTGCAAATTACAATACAATGACAGCAGTGCTTTTCCTGTCAGTTACCAGGATACTGGCAGATAGGCAGCAAAAGAAATTACTTATCCAAATCCTTTCCCAGTGCCTAGAGCAGCCGTGGGCAAACTACGGCCCGTGTTTGAAATGAATAAAACTAAAAAAAAAAAAAAAAAAAAAAAGAACGTACCCTTTTATGTAATGATGTTTACTTTGAATTTATATTAGTTCACACAAACACTCCATCCATGCTTTTGTTCCGGCCCTCCGGTCCAGTTTAAGAACCCATTGTGGCCCTCGAGTCAAAAAGTTTGCCCACCCCTGGCCTGGAGTTTCAAGTGATTATTTTCAATATTCTGTTCATTGCGTCTCCTTTGCCGTTGTCTCTGTGCTACAGCAGTGGTTTAGTATCAACTTCTTTTGAATAGCTACTCTGGGGGACATCCTGTGCTAGGTATTTTGGCCCCATGGATAGATGGAGTCAGCCACGCTAACTAGTAAACACAAAAACACGTGCTAGTGACCTGAGAGATCCATGCAGAAGAGAGTCCAAGAATAGGGGACTGTTCACTGCCTCTTGGAGGAGAGAGAATCTGTTTCCTAGGGATACTGAGCAGGTAAGCCTACAAGATAAGAGCTGAGCAGGAGTTGCAGCTGAGCAGGGAGGAAAGGTGTTCAGAAAGAGAGCAGTGGGAGCAAAGACTCAGAGATGTGACAAGGCTCAGGGTATTCGCAGACTCTCAAGTATCCAGTGTGGCAGCAGTAGGGCAATGGAGGCAAGAGAAAGGCATAGAACAAGATCTGTTGTTAAAATGTATTTGCAGAGCTCTGCCTGGTTTGGCTCAGTGGATAGAACGTGGGCTTGCAGACTGAAGGGTCCTGGGTTCTATTCCAATCAAGGGCACATTCCTGTGTTGTGGGCTCGGTCCCCAATAGGGAGCGTGCAGGAGGCAGCCTATCAATGATTCTCCCTCATCATTGATGTTTCTCTATCTCTCTGTATCCCTCTCTCTTCCTCTCTGAAATCAATAAAAATATATTTTAAAAAAACTTAAAAAAAAACAAATAAAAGAACCTCCCTATCAATATAAGAAATTTTTAAAAACAATAAAATAAAATGTATTCACAGAGATATATGCACCCCTATGTCCATTGCAGCATTATTCATGGTGGCCAAAACATGGAAACCACCAAAGTGTCCTGTGATAGAGCACTGGACGTGGTACTTATACACAAGGGAATCCTATTCAGCCATAAGAGAGGATGAAATAGCACCATTTGCAACAAGATGGACGGACCTTGAGAACATTATGCTCAGTGAAATTAGTCACTCAGAAAAAGCTATGAACCATATGATTTCACTCCTATGTGGGTATAAAGCTGAAACTCGTGAACACAAACAGCAGTGTGGTGCTTCCAGAGGGAAGGCGGTGGGGGGTGAGGAGTGTCCTAATATGTGATAACAGGGGAAGACTTGATTTTGGGTGGTGAGCACATGGGGAATATACAGATCATATAATACAGAAACCCATACCCGAAACCTATATGTTCATGTTGACCAAACTCGCCCGAATCAATTTAATTAAAAAAATAAAAACTTGCCAAGGACCTTTCCATTCATTTTGTACTAACTACCTGTGGCTGACCACAGTCCCAGGCTGATGGAAAAGATAAAACACTTTTCTTTTTCATGTTCTTATTCTCTTATGCCCAGATGCCTGTGATGATCCAATGAGATTTGAAACCATGATGTTAAACGGTCCTCCTAAAGCATCTTATGGTCCTGGGGACAGAGTCGAATTTAAGTGTCGTTTAGGATACAAGCGTATTGTCCCTTTAGTCCCCACCACTGCAGTTTGTCAGCCTGATAACACATGGGCACCTCCTCTCCAGGAGGCTTGTACAGGTAAGCACACACAGCTTTTATTCGTATTGTTCTGGGTATTGCCACACATTTTAGACTGCACAGTCCACTATTACCATGATGGTTTTCCCATGCGAATGGAGATTCTAGATAACAATGTCTTTGAAAATCTCCTAGGAATCTTTTTCTTGGCAGTTGCTTGCCTGAGTAAATGTGAATCTTAAGTTTGGTCTTTAAATAGTTAAATGGATTTAGAAGAGCAATATCGAATTTTGATTGGATTCACTGGCTTTGAAATTGGCATATAACAACACATTTGAATTTTTCTTTTAGAAAAGACATGTCCACAGCTAGGAGAGCCCCTCAATGGCGAAGTAGTTTTAAATTGGCATATAACAACAATTTGAATTTTTCTTTTAGAAAAGACATGTCCGCAGCTAGGAGAGCCCCTCAATGGCGAAGTAGTTTATGTAAACGGAACTACCACATTTGGTTCTCAAGCTCACTATGTTTGTAATGCGGGGTAAGTTTCTCCTTAGAGGAATACAGTAAATGTTACTATTTTGCTTTGCTTCTCTTCTTCAGCATTCCCGTAATGTTGAGATTATCTTGCTTTCTGTGTGACAAGTTGTACTTCTAGCCAATCAACTCTTGGGCTTTTTATGCAAACTGAGAAGATGTGTAATGAATAGAAATTAAAAGTGAAGGAAAGGAAATTTTTATAATACTACATGCAAGCATAAGCCTATCATTAGCATTAAACTTGTAGTAATCTTGATGACATTACTTTAACATCAAATTATATCCTATTTAAAATGGCCAGCACTTAGAGTTAAAGGAGGGCTTATAGAATCGGTAGGTAGGTTTACCCACCAAAGATATTGTTCATGGCAATAACTCTGTAAAGAGTTATTATAGCCTGGACCATATATTGATCAAAATCCTTTTGTTGGAAAACTTGAGTTTTGAGACAGCTATAAAGGAGTGAAGGTCTCAAAAACAAGTACTGTACACCTGATAATAGTAGCCTTTCTTCTCTTGGACTCCTTTAATCCTATATAATAAAAAGCTAATATGCTAATTAGATTGAACAGTCAAATGACCTTCTGGATGACTGTCAGGACAACCTTCTGGACATAGCTGTGAGGGCCAAGACAGCAGCCAGGGTTGCGAAGGCCAAGTCCCTTGCATGAATTTCATGCCTCAGGCCTCTAGTATATATTTAGACATTTATAAAAATGTACATTTACAGGGTAAATGTCATACACTATACAAAAGCAACTGATTTTTGATATTGACTTTGTATTCTGCTACTTTGCTGCATTAATTTATTTATTCTAACAGCTGTTGTGTGGGGTGTGTGCGCACGCATGCACAGATGCAATATGCGCACAGTCGTTAGGGTTTTTCGGGTTTTTTTTTTAATCCTCACCTGGGGATATTTTTCCATTGATTTTTAGGGAGAGTGGAAGAGAGAGGGAAAGACAAAGAGAAATATCAATGTGAGAGAAATACATCAATTGGTTGCCTCCTGCAGGAGCACCGAGCTGTGCCCGGGCCTGGGAGGAGCCTCTAACCAAGGTACATGCCCTTGACAAAAAATGAACCTGGGATTTTTTGGTCCTCAGGCTGACACTGTATCTACTGAGTCAAACCATGTAGGATGGGTTTTCTACATATAAGATTTTATTATTTGCAAATTGATAATTTTATGTCTTCATAACCCACTAGGCTGCCTTTTATTTCTTGTCTAGATTCTCTGACTAAACTTTCAGTACTATGTTGAATAGACATGGTAAAAGTGGGCATTCTTGCATTATTCCTGATCTTAGAAGAAAAGCTTTTGGATTTAAACCACTGAATAGGATGTTTATTGTAGGTTTTTCATCTATGGCATGTATTTTCTTAAGGTAACTTACCTTCTGTTCCTGGTTTGTTGAATATTTACTATGCAAAAATGTTGAATCCTGACAAATGCTCAATTGAAATGATCAAGTGGATTTACCCTTCATTCTATTGATATGGCAGATTACATAGATGGATTTGCATATGTTGAGCCGCCCTTGCATTTGCAAATAAATCTCACTTGTGCATGGTGGATAATCTTTCTGATTTCTGTTTGCTGTAATTAGTTGCAGATTTTTGCATCAAGGTTCATAACGGATACTATTCTGTAGCTTTCTTTTCTTGCAGTGTCTTTTTCTGTTGTTGGCATCACAGTAATGCTGTTCTCATAGAATAAGTTCTGAAGGCTTCCTTCCTCTGTAGGACCAGGTGGAAAGGCCTCTTTTGAGCATCTCCTTGAGTCACAGTTTGTTGGTGTGTTCACATTTCTTCTTAAAGCAGTTGATAGCACTGAGTTTCAGGCAAGCATAACATTTGAGTCATATAGTCTTATGGCCATTGTATTTCAGGGGAGTTGGCAGAAAAGGTTCATAGATTCCACCTCACAGGCAGAACATCAAGTTTCTGGATATCAAAGTGTGATAGAGTGCTGTCTTCCTCCAAACATGCCCCCAAAAGCAGGTGCTGTTTTCCTGGAAAGGTGCCCTCCTTGTCTTAAATTTTAGCTTTGACATTCTCAAAGGTGTCATTGGGCTCAAACTTGAGAGTGCTAGCCTTGCCCATCAGAGTACTCAGAAAGATCTGCCTTTCTGTGTCTGCCACTTCACGAAGGAAAAGAGAACAGCAAAACTAAAAACCAACGACTTGCCACCAGATTTTCTTTTAAAGACAGCTGTTTTAAAGTCTTTGTCTAGTAGATCTTTCCTCAGGTGTTTTTTTTTTTCAGGGATACTTTTTATCGATTTACATTTTCTTTGAATGAGTCATATTCTCTTGTTTCTTTGTATGCATTGTGATTTTGTTGTTGTTGTTGAACTGAACATTTGAATCTAATAATGGGGAAACTATGGGAATCAGATTGCCATCCTTTTATAGGTGTTTTTTTTTTTTATATTATTGTTTTTGTTTTTGGATTTTTGTAGGGTGACTCTGTGCAGAGGATCAGCCTGACAGGTAAACTAAATGTATTCTCAAATTTTTTCTGAGCGTTTTTCTCAGGGCATGCATAATCACTTCCTAATTTTCCTCACATATATCATCGTTTTTAAATGCCCCACGTTTTAATATCCGGCTTCTGAAAGGGGAAATCACAAGAAATGAAGAAGAAATCACTGGAATTCTCCTCAGTCAGCAAGAAAAGGCTTACACATTTGAAAAGTGAGATATGACAGCAATGGCTGTCCACGTCTTTGTCTGTTTCCCTGTGACCAGAAAGATCAGTCAGTGATAAAAGCAGGCACCCCTGATATTTGGAGAACACAGGCCCTTTGGCCCAAGCTGGCTCTTCAGTCTGCTGATAAACTGCTCCAGGAGCACAGCTGCGTGCTATGGGGGTAGCATGGGCAGCTGCCACTGTGCTAAGAGCAGAAATTGACCAATTTTAGTGCAATTTACCTGCTCAAGTCTTTTCTGGAAGTTGCAAGCCTTCAACAAACTCCAGAGTTTCAAAACAGTGACATTAGGCAGTTTCTAGTAGAAATGGTTGTCAAATGGGGAGAGCGGTT